TCTGGCTTGATATCAAAATTGCGACGTATGAAGTTGCGTGAGTGGATATCCCATCCCAGAGGATCAGCGAAGACTAGAAATATGGAGAAAGACACGCACAAGGTGGTCGGTGCGTAAAAGAACAGTGGACTCAGGCTCAAGCGCTCAAGACCTGAGTCCACGTGATACAATCTACGCAAATGCGCCAACCGTAAACGTTCAAACGCTCAAGCTAGCGCTCAAGGACTCTAACCGCTCCACAAAAACATTTTGTTCTTACGAATTCACGTCTCTGGTGTACGTGTGGCCGTGTAGCCGAAGAGCGCTGTCCCTTCAACCCTGCCCCTGAAACCAACCTTCAGGGAACGCTCGCTTGGCGCTCGCTTCACCGTCAATGCCCAAGATCGCCGCGCTTTTTGCAACACTTCGACAATCCGGAAACGTCCTCGATTTACTTGGTTTTACAGCTATTATCATAAAACCTTCCGAATATCCTTACTTATGTCGAACGTTTTACTCACCTTTGGGCTGAAATATGAGAGGGGCAGGGACGGCTTTCCCCGGATTTCCGAAACGAGACATGAAATCAGACCCTGGAGCTATTTTGAGCCTTGTTTGCCATCGCCCTCCAGGGCGGCGTCGGCTATCGGCCTTGTTCGGGTCCTCGTCACAATCGTTACAATAATAGATCTGATCGTTTACACCTACTATAGATTAAAGGTTGACGACTCCCAGCCAAACGTTGAGCATCGCAAACCTGCTTCCACTCTGCTGGCAAAGCCCCGGCCTCCACCGCTTCCAAACTTCCAAGGCCCCGCCGAATTGACAGATGGCGCAAAGGCAGCCAAGAAGACAGTGAAAGGCGCAGCGCTGGCTGATGGAGAAGAAGAAGCGAGAGATACAAGGTGCGTAGCGCGCCTCACCCGATACACTGATTACCTCCTCTTTATTCCTTAAACGGGTCCACCCCGTCGCTTGTATCTCCAACAACGAGCTTAGTGAGAAGCGACCTCTTTGGAACACATTGCGTTGACTCCTCAAACAGGTCCAATCGAACACTCGTATCTCCAACAAGGTAATGGCTAACGAGACAATGTCAGTCGACCACGGCAAGGCCATTGAGACTGCGCTTGGCTCTGTGGATAGCTTCCTTTTCTCCAGCGAGCTTGGTTGCCTGTCTGATAACAAGGTGAGCAGCTGATCTTCAATAAATGTCATTCTATTGCAAATGAGCTCGCTTTTACAGCAAGCACACAATGGCCAGTCGAAGAAGAGCATGTGCAAGAGGCATATTGTCAGGCTTATCACGGAGATGCGAGTAGCGTCAGCACCGGCTCTTTGGGCTGTACAGCTGCTCTGGAGGTTGGTGCGCCACAACTAAGGTTTGTTCCAGATAATGATGGATTTTGTTTTGTAGGTATCAAATCAACTCAATCCAGGGGGAGGCGGGATCAAGATGCAGCTCATGAGTCTTGCAATGGCGGAGGCGACGAGGTTGTTTGGCAAAGTGTGGAGGTGCGGCGTCGGGTAACAGCCAGGGCTTTCTTCCTTTCTCGCATCGCTGACAATGTGTGTGTAGAGTTCTCGTCAGTAGGCGCGCATCCACTGCTGGCAGAGTGCTGGCCTCCACCGCTTCCAAGGCCGAAATCGACAGTGGCAACTAAGAAAACAGCGAGGAAAGTTACTCCTCTTACATCTACAAGGGTGTGTGTTTCAACCAATACATATAATTCCTCTTCTTCGGCCCTTGGACAGGTCCACCCTGACACTGGTATCTCCAAAAAGGCGATGGCTATCCTTAAAAGCTTCGTGAACAATATCTTCAAACACATTGCTACTGAACCTTCCAGTACATGCCATGTAGGTCTTCGTCTCTCACATTCTGTATTTATGTTAATTACCTCCATCAATTTTGTATTACAGGATCAAATCAAGTCTTGAGCAGCATAATGAGAGCATCGACTCCGTTCTGGTCTCCTTGCTTCTGGCGCCGTAACG